ACACACATACATACACTACACGAACAAACACACACACAGACACACACACACACAAACACACAAACACACACACACACACACACACACACACACACACACACATACACACACACAGTATAGGCCATATAAAAATGGGCTATAAATATGCCCGTTATACATCATTTTGACGTTATAACAGACTATTAAAATCTGAAACAACCATAACTCCAGTTGTTTGTAGGCGGATTTTGCTAGATCTGATTCTTTAATCTGTTTTGTCCAAATCTTACTGAGTAGTTTCCAATAGAAGTGGTAAAATATTGATTTCTGACAATTGAATTTTTCGCTTGTGGTAGGCCTACTCTCTGCTACAATGTCAATGTATATTTTAAAAACAAAGAGGTTATAAATAGAACTAGAGGTCTTAGCTGTGACGTCACGAGTGTCAAACTTGGGGAGCGCACCGCCATTCCGGAGAGGAATATAAGGCCAGTCGGTGCACAGCAACACTTTTTAATCACGGATTAATGATACTCTGCGAAGTCATTTTAAGTTGATGTCTTTTTCATGTGATTTGCCTATCGCTAAAATATGTACCCATTGGGATTTTTGTGATTGTGTACCTTTAAATGGGCCAGATAATCTTCACATAATTCGCATTATGGCCTTTTGCACGCTGGGATCATTCGGGTAAGTAAAATTCAGAAAAAATTAACGAGGTGGACTTGATGGTCACTTCTTAAAATAAAAAAACCCTTAATTTTATTGAAATCTTTTGCTCAAACAGCCTGGTATGTCTAGATTTAGCACCGCTGACCACAACAATTAGGCGCTCGTATGGGCCTTCTGGAATCAGGAATGTGACTGAGAACCTTCTAGAAGCTTTAACTGCAATTTTAACACACCTCCAAGGCTGGCTGAACGGAAAAGAACCACTGTCGATGTTGTTGAGATGAAAGAATATAAAGTAGCCAACCAAATGTAACTACCGTACCCACCAATAAGACCGGCGTAATATTATATGTCATTTGCGGAACTGATGCCAAACAGCATGTGCATCAGCAGCAGCAGGGGTTCATGGAAGATGGGGTGTTTTGTAGCCAATCAACGCCAATTTGAGAAAATATTGTGAACGCTTAAGATAAACAAGCTATTTATCTTTGTGTTGCATTTTAAAATGTTGTCAGTATATAATTATTTGTGCCCGATATTAAACAATGCTCTTTGAATGTGGGTGTGCGCCAAGGATCCATGTATGAGTGATTTACAGTATCCCAGCCTACAATTAATTGCTCATTTGGGACAAAACCCGCAGTGATCTATACGGATGGATCTGTCAGGAGGGGTGAGAGAAGTGGGTGGGGTTTTGTGGTGTACAGTGGGCAGTGGCGGTGGGTAGTGAAGGGCTTACGGGCTTGAGCCCCTCACCCCCACCCCGTCTCCACCCCAACTCTATCCCTTAGTTAATGAAAGTTTCTTAAATAACGAAATAAGCAGCTGAAACCGTTATGATAGCACACAATGAACACACAGTTATCAGCTTGGCGGCTTGCCCGTTTATCCAATCATTGTTGTCACCGCTTACAACTATAGTAACCTAACAGCCAATCAAATGTCGTTAGGGCTCAGAAAGAATAAGCCGGCTCCCACGCCCATCTTTAATGAAACTCTTCTTGTAAAAAGGTAGAAGACTTTAAAAAGATAACACTGCACAGAGGGCTCATGCTCTCCCAGCCCTGACAATGGGGTGAAAGTTTACGACACACTTTCCCCCAGTGACACAGATACCTATGCGCCCATTGGGCCTTTGTTAGGCGCGTTCTATTTTCTGCAACAACACGACCCTATCCACCTCATACACGGTGTGTGTTTGGAGTGCTGTGTGTTTGTGCCGATGAGATTTAACAGCTATTAATTACATCAAACCACTTTTGAGGCAACTTTTTCTTCAGATTAAAAACTAATTAGAGAAATTTGGAGGTGAAACGGCTTCGTCCCCACCATCCAGAAGAGCTTAAATTTAACTAAGAACAAAGAGATGGAAGACAAAGGTGACTCTCCTCGTTTGAATGGTTCTCAAAATGCGTGGCTCGCTGTAAGTATAGAACTATCATCTCTGTTTTGTTCTTATTGCTTGCTTTTTGGTGGTAAAGAAGTGGAAGAAACCTAAGCCCCACCCAAATCTTGGTCCACCCACCACCACTGACAGTGGGAATAAAAAGGTTCATAGCATGTCCGGGGCCATAGAAAGAACAACTTCAAGCATGAAATTGAAAATGGAGATTGAGGCCGAAACAAGAGCGCTTGGCTGGCTTCAAAATACAAGACCAAGAACTACCCATCTCATCATTGTCACAGACTCCCAGAGCATCCTGCGAAGGGTTGAGAAAGGGCTGCTTCGGAGTGAATGGATGAACCCAATACAATGTACAACACTTGTCATTTAGAGCCATCACGTGGATATTCTGTCCTGGGCACTCTGGAGTGAAAGGCAATGAGGAGGCTGATAGGCTGGCAGGCAGTGCCGTGGTTGATGGTGAGGTGAAATTTGACAAATGAAAAGTGTTGAAGACCCTGGAGGGTTGCGGTATGAGGAAGACAGGGAGACAGCAGAACACCACGCAATCATTAGGATGCGGGAAATGGGGATAGAGAGGGGAGAAGGAAGAAAGGAACGATTATATGGAAAGGAAAGACGTCGCCATAATCAGACAGCCACCAGGAACAATCTGTATGGATACCTTGCGGGCTTTGGTGCTGGGGGGAACACAGGTAAATACAGGTTTGAGACAATAATGTATTAACATATTAAATAATTAACCCAGACTGAACCCCCTTCATACACTATGAAGACCTAGGCTTTGCATCAGTAGAAGGAGAGTGTAGACAACTTGACATAAAAGCAAGGAGAGTGTAGACAACACAACATAAAGGCAAGGAGAGTGTAGAAAACACACGACATAAAAGCAAGGAGAGTGTAGAAAACACACGACATAAAAGCAAGGAGAGTGTAGAAAACACACGACATAAAAGCAAGGAGAGTGTAGACAACACACGACATAAAAGCAAGGAGAGTGTAGAAAACACACGACATAAAAGCAAGGAGAGTGTAGACAACGTGACATAAAAGCAAGGAGAGTGTAGACAACATGACATAAAAGCAAGGAGAGTGTAGACAACACGACTTAAAAGCAAGGAGAGTGTAGACAACACGACTTAAAAGCAATCCATTTTGTAAGTATGAAATTTTCCTTTTCTAAACGAACTCAATTACTCACTGTATTTCCCTACGCCCCTCCCCCGCCCCATCCGGGAAAAACAAACAATGCCACATACAATGTAGTATAATAGCTCTCTGTTCGTGTGTAGCCCCTATTTAAGTGTATTTATGGTTCCCACAATCGTTCAGCAGGGGCGCTATTGATATATGCGTGTTTGTTATGATTTAAAAAACAACAGCAAACAAAAAGAAAACTTCAAATAAAACTGAACTGAGCTTCAAATTCTATATAGACCTAGGCGTTGCGAGGAACTCGCAGCGTGACAGCGCAGTTTCTAATCCTCTCAAAAATGGCGAGAAAGCGAGCTGAGTGGGCCCGCACAGCCATATTCAGTTTACGTGGGTGACGTCACAGCTGCGACCTCTAGTACTTCATTATAACCTCTTTGTCTTCCAAGGAGATAACTCTTTAACCCGAAGAGAGGCGTTTTAGGAGGACCAAGGCCCATCATCCTTCGCGCGCATTTGTCCATTCATTCGTTGTTCATTCATTGTTGTTCAAAGTTGTCTCCCCCTTGCTTGTGTACAAATGGCTGTACTGTATGAGCTGTAGCCTGTACTGTAGCTTTTTTTGGCTGAGTGTTGTTGTCAAGTGTCAAAAGTGATCGTCAACAACCAGCATCCTGTCATTCAGTTCATAAGATAGTCATTGCAACACCATAGAAGTAGGGTAAGATGCAAGTCATGGTAACAAATGAACGTATTAGGCTAATAACTGTTCCATTCAGTACATTTCACGTAATATTCACTGTCATGACACTAACAACAGTGTCAGTAGCCTTCCTTTCAAAGACGTGAAAGTATTATTGTCAATTCGGTAGGCCTACTGGAGAAAGTGTCCCGTTTGGCCCAGTTTGGGGATACTAGTTTTGGCCCCACCGACGATTTCTTTTTGACACACGTGCTGATATGGAGAGATAGCCTGTCAAACCTCTAGTCTATTCTCTTTGCAATTTAACATTATATTTTATGGTCAAATTCAAGGGGGGCATACCCCCCTGAACCACACAGCGGATTAAAAAATGTCAGCAGTACGCCATTGGCCGATATTTATAGTAACAGCCGTCTTGTTTGACCTTATTGAGGGATTCCCACTTTTTTGTCAGTCGTGGTGGCGACACGACCGCACGAGGACGACGTATGTTAGATGGAAGAGGCTAGCTGTACTTAATGACGGCTAGACTGGCCGGGCTAGACTCGCAGTCTAGCCGTACTTATTCTTAATATGATGGCTAGACTGACCATTTACAAAAAATAGGCCTACTGAATTGTAAATAGATCTATACATTTTTAGTGTGCAGTACCTAAAGTATTTGCGAGACGAAACCAGGTTCCTTAATGACAGTGCATGTATTTTAAACCTCCTGTTTTCTAATTGGGCCTAAGATAAGTACGGCTAGACTGGCAGACTTCTTGTCTAGCCGTACTTAAGTACGGGTAGACAGCCAGGCTAGCCGTACTTAAGGACGCATGGGTCTCAATAGTCCGCTATTTAGCGGATTTCCGCTACCGCCAGTTCCTCCGCTAAACTCCGCTACGCGATAGCGGGCCAATCAGAAAGAGAGTTGTTGGGAGCAGGGTGACTGCCAGGCCCCGGGAATTAAAAAAAAAATCGCCAAGACCCGCGAAAATACATAAAAGATCTAAATATTTGAAAACCAAATCCAATAATGTCTCTAAGTTCATTTCTGCCGGTCGCGATTGTGACATTAATTCGGCTCTGAGAGTACGTTTCACGCGAACTAGTGGCTTTGGCGGCAAGCAGAATTGTGTCACCAATGCTCGACTAGAAAATCAAGATCTTCTTTCGCTTTCGTTACCACCCAGAAATTTGTCAGTAATTGTCTGATAACACAACGTTTATTGTAACATGCAGGTTCGGCATTACAAACGGGGTGTCGCCATGAAAATAAATAAATATTCGTCACTGTGCTGTCACTTGTGGGGGCAACAACAAAAAAAAGAAAAGAAAGTTATACAAGCGTCTTGTCGGGCTCGCCATTGTGACCGGTCAATGAACCTGCGCGCATTCTGAGCGCTGCGAAGTACAGGACTCAGGAATGGGGGGAGATTATTTATTTTTTTAAAAGACGCACTCGGGGATAGGGGGAGGGCTGGACGCAACACCTGAGGACAAAAACAGACAAACTGAAACTGAAAATAAATGTTTAATAAATTTTTATTACTACTTCAGCTCTCTGCGTTGTTGCAGGCCTTGTGTGAAATCGGGAATGGTCATAACTTGTAAACGAGTTATAATGGAACTTAGGGGCCTGAGTGTTCGCGTTTCATTGGATTGGTGACAGTAAATTAGATCTCTATATTTTAGCTTTCTGTTCAAGATTCGCAGATTTTCACTATCACTGCATCTTGCCCCCCCACAGTTCTTACACCTCTCACACTGAATAGGTCTACTTGAGCTATTCTACAGTACTTTGAGTTTGAGCATTATTTTTGTCTTTCACGTTTATTATATAGGCCTATATATATATATGATATGATGAATCATGACAGTCGATATTCTGGTTCCAGGCTCAAAACAAGATTCATTTCTATATATATAGTTTATGTATACAGGCGAATATGATGAAGGGAAAATATTAATACGAAGTGGCTAGCCGTACTTAAGTACGGC